GTTTAAAATACGTTTCCGCCATTTTGTTTGTTTTGGGAAAATCATTAATTGTACTGCAGTACAATTAATGAAATAATTGTACTCCTCTCAACCAATCAGCATCCAGTAATTTTGTCATGCTAATAATAAAAATATAAAGTATATTTATTCCGTAGCCACGTTGAAATACGTCTGCCTTGCTGGCAGTGGTTTCGGAGCTGAGGAGAAACCACTGCGAGCAAACAAACGACTTTCTATTGAGCATGCACGAAGATCACAGGGTGGGACAGCACTAATTTGACTTCATTTGCTGTAGTTTAACAGTTTGGTATGCAAGCAAGGGTGGCATAGTACTGTTTTCTTTGTTGTCTGTCTGACTTTTTATTCTACATGCAGTTCACAATTTACTTCTAGAAGATTTTGAAATCGGTGCCTCACCCTACACCTACAAATTGTGCATTTGAATTTCTGTTATATCTTTTTAAATTTTTGTATTTATATGATCAATTTTTAAAATTTGGTCTGCAAACTTTATTTGTGTTACTTAAACGTTGGAAATTGTGTTAAGGTTTTCGATAAATTCCAATATCCAAATAATATAATAATTATAGGTTTCCAATTACTGTTGATTTTGATAATTATTGCAATTTTTTATTGTCGCGAGTTCAACCGCTACGAATTTCGACTGATGAAAGATCGTCATGACAGCGCTACTATTTATGTAAAAGGTGTGGATTTTTGTTTCAGTGTGTGAATTTATTGTTACTCTGTTGAACTGTAGGCGGTTTTCTAGTCATCTCAATGTATAATTTCAAACATTTTATTCAATATTTTGTAAAGTTATAGTATTTTGTAAAAGGTAGTATATTTATAGCGTGTTACTATATTTGATCGTGTTGTTTTAGTACAACTGGCTCGCATTTTACTAGCAGTTCCAAGCAGTTACCCATGCGCACAATAACAAAAACTTGTCAAACTTGTTTTACTGGTTTCTCATTTAATGTATTCGTCCATGAATCTGGACGGCGACTACAATGAAACGATCGTTTGTTTGCTCACAGTGGTTTCTCCTCAGCTCAGCTAGAAACCACTGCTAGCAGGGTAAAATACGTCTATTTTGGTTCAAATCTAATGAAATGATGCAATACACTGCACCTTGTTTAGTGGTGATCAAATTTAAACATAAGATTCACAGTGTTTGTGTGCAGAAAATATTTTCTTTGCCTTTGTGGTCCCAGGAAATAAAATATTTTATGCAGCCCTGAATTAATATGAGCTTTCCTAATTTTGCTGTTCAGGTTGTTGAACCTGTTGCAGGTTCACGAATTGGGAATATGTGCCATTATTTGGCATATGTTGTTGATATCCATGCTGCTGGTAAAAACACATTCTGGTTATTTGGGTGGGCTTGATGCATAATTGCACCAGATAACATTTCAATTGAACGGCTAATACTTGTACCAAGATCAGTCATCGACTGACCAATAACTTTGACACTTTCAGCAAACTTGTTGGATGATTCACGCATAACATCAGCCAAATCTTTTTTGAATTTGGAGTCTTCTTTTGCTTCTTTGATGAGCAATTGGTCTCGCTGAGCAGCCGATAAGTTCCGCTCCAAATGTTTACGCTTGTTATCAATCAACTGAGGTACACAGTTCTCCTTTCGCTTACTTGGAACAACTTCGCTTGTGCTGGTGGATTCTTCCATACCCTCCTTTTCAAAATCATCCTCTTGATCATTTTCTTTCTCATTTTCCTCTGCTAACAGTATTTCCCGATCAATTTCGTCATAGTTGAAAAAGTTGGAATCATCTTCAGCACTGCTTTCCTCCAAAAGATCATTTGCTGTCACACCTTAAGGAAGAGGCTTGGTATTAGCTGGTCCACCCCATATAAACAACAACAACAACAACAACAACAACAACAACAACAACAACAACAACAACAACAACAACAACAACAACAACAACAACAACAACAACAACAACAACAACAACAACAACAACAACAAC